ATTTTGGTAATAAAATTATTCAAAATAAATCAATATATCAAAAGTTATTAGCAATTCCATAAATCAGCCCATATGATATAAAATGATATATTGAGGCTTGTGGTACATGTTAAAGATGAGGAAGGCCTAAAACTCAAGAACCATTGTATCCAATCAAAGTAGGTCAACCCTTTGACCAAATTGATTTTAATATTGCAGGGCTGCTCTCAGAGACTCCAGAAGAGTATCATTATATAGTTGTAGCTACAGACTATCTCACCAAGTAGCTAGAAACACAAGCTCTTAAAAATGCTAATGCTAAATCTGTCACCTTCTTCCTTCTGGATGACATAATTTGTCAATATAAAAGTCCTTGTGAGTTACGCTTTTACCAGGGTACTCATTTTTGTAACAAACTAGTAGATACTATTTGCAAACTAATGAAAGTTTGCCACCATACCTCTACTGCTTACTACCCCAAACTAATAGAATGGTGAAGAGATTCAATAGAACACTATGTAAGATCTTAGCTAAATATATTAAACAATATAAGAGAGAATGGACTGAATTTATCTTAACGGCCTTATTCGCTTATCAAACTACATGACACTATATGACCTGGTATGAGCTTTTTTTCTTGGTCTATGGCCAAGATGCTATACTCCCAGTTGAAACAGTTATAGTAGTATACCTTTCAGAACCAACTACAGAGCTAAGATCCAAGATTATCTTTTCTAAAGAATCAAGGCTATTCTAGAAAACTAGAAGATGCCCGAAACCAAGCTTAAGGAAATGTTAGAAAAGCCCAAGATAAACAAAAGGCTCAGCATGATCAGAAATATTAGCTTGAGACTTACCAAATTGGAGACAAAGTAATGCTACATGAAACTTCTTTAGATATATCATATAGTGCCAACTTGAGCTAAAGTTTATGAGCCCTACTATATACACAAAGTATGTGGCAATAGATTGTATAAGCCAAAGATGATAAAGCCTGCTCTAAATAATAAGCCTACTAAGAGTGAATGGTTTCTTAAAAAATGAATTCATGAAAACTGGTTAAAAAAATATATCACTATCCTGTAACAATAAAAATTCATTCTCTATAAATATCTCTAACAAAAGACCTTGGGTTAAATCTTATTTCTGCTTACTTATTTTCTCAATGAATTAATTAGAGTTAATGCTTAATTTTTAACCCATGTGATGAAACTAAAAAAGATGATAAAAGGCACTAATGTGGCTAAAGTTTGTATAATGACCACAGAAATATTTTTCTCTTGCTTTCAAGGAGAACCTGCTTATCTTCTATTCTCTGAAGATATCACTACTAATCTCTTTTCAAGAGCCATGAATGGTTACCTAAGTGATCTAAAATGTACTGATATCTCTACTAGACTTCCTGAATTAGTATCTGAAGGAACTTGGAGTGAGAGGCTCAACATACTATAGTGAAACCATTCTCAGTGAAGGATGTGACCAGGTGAGTCTTCTACAACAATGTTACTACCTAGGGGATTGTCTGAAAGAACCTACTAGATATGCTGGAGGGATCAATTGGAGTACAGTGAACAAGACGAGCTCCAAAAGAGAATTAAGAATGCTAAGGGGAAAGAAGTTTAGAGGGTAGCCAACTGAGCCTACCAATTGTATTAGGTCCGAGGATTTTATAATCTCCTCAACAACCAGTATATCACTGCCAATGCCCTCTATAGAATGACCAAAGAAGACTTCAAAAACTAATTAAGAAAGCTCGAAAGATTCAGGCTGAGGAGCTCTTAGAATTCCTTCAAGAAACTTTCACAAAAGCTTGAGGTTAAGAAGAGGAAGATATCACAAATCTCATGATATAGGGATTTAGAGGGGCTTAGGAGATTTATTTGTTTATTAATTATCATCTAGTATTTATTTTTTTTTTAATAATAAATCATCTGGCTTGGGAAGCTGGAAATTGTAGTAAATATTTAGAACAAAAATTGAAGTAAATATTTAGGACAATAGTTGTAGTAAATATTTGGAGTAATAATTATGAGTAATATTTGGAAGAGGCTTTTTTCACACAGGTTGCTACAACTTATGGAGTAGGGTTGGGAAAGCCTTACCAAGGTTAAAGAGAAGGAATTAAAAGTTTTTGCATAGTAATATAAAAAAAAAATAAAAAAGTATTTAAAGACCATCTTTTTTCATTAATTAAATTTCTTCAGACTTTGATATCTTTAATAAAGTAATAATAAAGTAATAATAAGAGTCAAATTTTCACTTGATTAAATAGTTATTGAATGCTATTGTTAAACATTTATTTTTATTATATTTTATTTTCTTTTTTTATACTTTTATTTCTTGCGCATTGTTATTTTTCTTGAATTGTTATTATGTGTTGTCTAAGTCCCTGTCCTACTTATTAAGACCTCACAATTATCCCTAAAACTGTTTTATTACTCTATATTCAACCCACCTGTTTACTACATATAGACACATCTTGTTGTATCATAAACATTATTAACCTCAAATGCTATTATTAGAATATCCTTAAAGTTATCTTTAAAATATGTGTATAATCCAATCGGGACTAAATTAGTAAGGACCTGATCCTGATTTCAAAATATCAAAGACCTCAAGTTCACATGTCCAGGCATCCTCAAATGATATTTATAAGCTCTCTGAGTTTACTATTAAAGCTAAATAGCACTTTATACCACCAACGCTCTCCCAATCAATAGTAACAGTACATCTTTTTTGTGTAATGTATGTCGAAATCATGAAAATCGAACACCTGATATTTAATCTAGAACATTCCTTGTAATAGTATCATGTACATACATATGGTACTTTTCACAGAAGACTTTTTAGATCAAGATTCAATTGCAAAGACTTTGGATCTCTTAAATTCGAGTGAAGACCTTTTAGATCTTTTAAATTCGAGCGAAGATATAGATCTCTTAGCAGTTAGATTGCAGTAAAGTATAATGGTACAGAATTGCGAATTATAGTACATTGTAGAAATGTATAATTTATTATTAAGTATTAAAATGTACAAGTATACATGAAATATTAAGTAAAAGGTAACTAAAATATTGTTTTCTTTAATGAGAAAAATTGCTATTTTTTAATCCAGTATAACCACATTTCCTTTTGCGCAAGTGAATCAGCATTATTTATCACATCTTC